AAAAAAATAAAACAAAGGAGGGAAAAAATTAGAAAAAAATAAAATTACTAATAAAAATACTTAACAAGGGATGTTCAAGTTCTGATCATACACATTAACAAGGAAAAATACTTGAAAATACTTAACAAGGAAAGATCAAATTCTGTTGAATTACTGATCAATATACTTGAAATATACTATCTGTTTAAGTTCTGATGAAAAAATACAATATGTTCAAGTTCTGTTCAAGTGATGTTTAAGTTCTGATCATACACATTAACAAGGAAAGGTTGTTAAAAAAGATGCTTATCGACATGAAATCAATAAAAATAACTAAACAGCAACAATTACCTTGGTGTGGGGTAGATTTAAGAAGGTCCTCTGCAGAAAAAGGCGGCTGTAACTGTCACGAACTTCCCATTTCAATATCCTCGGCATATCATGGTCACCAACAGAGGTGCATATTACACCTTCAGCGGTGTCGCAAACCTCGTAGAACCACGTCTGGAGAGCCAAGATAAGGCCATAACACCTGTATAGATATCCAGCACCCTCGGGCTTTTCATAAATGTGCATTTGCTCTCTTGTATGAATTGACTTCTTCATATAGTAAAGAGTGAAATCAAAAACTTCTTTTTCCCAAGCGTGGTCATCACACTCTGGACTGTCAATCAAGTCAATGTAGCAGCGGTCAATGCAAAGGGCTTCTTGTGAGCCCATCAAGAAATTTGCCAGTAGGTGTAACTTCGCAAATTTGACCGCATCCTCATCATTGGACCATGCTTTCTTAAGAAATTGCCACCTGATGTGGTTACGTCTCAGTTCTACACCATCAAAAAACTTGTCGTGTAGCCCACTGGATATCTTTGGAATGTTCAGCTTTTTGCTTTTTCCAACACATTTCAATCCGGTTATAACAGCAAATTCCTCTATACCGAAACGAAGTAACTTGCCTCCAAAATCGAACCAAACCTCATCGCTCCTATTCTGATGAACCTCACGTAAGATTATAAGGTTGATGAGTTGGTCCTGTACTATGCAATGAGGGAGATCAAGGAACTTCCCAAATGGTGATCTTCTGAATGCTTCCAATTGATCGGTAGTAAGAGTCCTCTTGATATCGTTGATCGTGGATCGATCTTTGCTGTTATCGTTGCTGTTTTGGACCTTAACATTTATGTCCCTGGGGTGCGGAATGAGCAATTGCCATTCCTGAAAAAATAAAGAATAAAATGCAATTAAATTACCAAAAAAAAAAAAAAAAAGCCTTCAACATATATGCCCTGTTCAATATACCCTGCAATAAATATGTGCCATAATCTGCCCTGTTCAATTTACTTTAAGGTAAAAATGAAAATACTTTAAATATATACTTTTACAATTTATAATGTCCTGTTCAAATCTACTTGAAATATACTTAAACATATGCCCTGCAGTAAAAAGTGTAAGGAATAAAATCAGTATTAAAACCTAACATATAAATGAAAATAAACTTGCATATGCTTCAGATGAAAAATTGTTATGAAGAACACAATTATTATTCGAATAAGAATTTTATGTTAAAGTTCTTTTCAATAAACCTGAAATATACTTGAAATATACTAAAAAATTGTTATGAAAAACATAATTATCATTCAACTAAGCATTTTAGGTCCAAGTTCTGAGCAATATACTTGAAATATACTAAAAAAAAAACTCAGTATGTAAAATTGTTATACTGAAAAAACATAATTAGGTCCAAGTTCTGAGCAATATACTTGAAATATACTAAAAAACTCAGTATGTAAAATTGTTACACTAAAAAAACTCAGCATTTTAGGTCCAAGTTCAGAGCATTTTAGGTCCAAGATCTGAGCAATAAAATTGTTATATACGTTGAATATACATAAAATATACTACATTTGTAGTGAACAACCACATAACAGTACGTATACTCCAATGTTACTAAATGGTGATGAATCAGGGACTATACAAATTAACATACAAACTTGTGCAAAAAAAAAAGTCGATTAAAAAAAATGATGCTTTAGGGGCAAATACCTTGTATTTTATTCCTTTCTGAAAATCTCGAGTGGACTTGGTGACATCAATATTGTCCATTTTTCTTTTCTTCAATCTGTTGACTTCGTCCCTTTTTTTGGCTGTCCTTTTCTTTCCTTTTTTCGTCAACAATTCAGCAGGAGAGTCTTCCTCATCCAAATCTTCTTCACTGTCGCTTTCTCCGGGTTGGCTTACACACTCGAAGTCAGGGTCTTCTTCCCTTGAAACTCGGGTTGGCTTCTCCACTTTACGTGTTTGCCGAGACTTTTTCGGTTTGTTTGTGTCGGACTGGAAGTCATCTGAACCGGGAGACGAAGTATGTTTTCTCATTTTCGCCTTGTCGGAAATCCTGCGGCGACTGGGCTTAGGGTTAGAGATTTTATCGAAAATTAAATTTTTTTTTAACGAATTTCGGTTGATGTTTTGGGAGGATTTTACGGAGTCGGGCACTAGATCTAATAACTGGTGAACCGTCGCCATTATCCGCCGGATTGTTTCGTTGAGGATGATTGATTTTGGCTTTGGTTTTTGCCATTGAATTCTGAAAACGGCGAACAGTTGAGGGTTTCAGAAGATGAAGGGTTACGTGGTTTGGTGGGGATATCTTTACTTTTTAGTTCCAATTTTTTTGGTAAGTGGATAATTAATTTCACTTAATTATATCATTAACATTATTAAAAAATTAATAAACGGTTAATCAGGATTTTAGGCATAGTTGAAAAACTTTTATGTTGTTTAGGTGATTTTAAAAAATAAAATAAAAAGGGTGCAAAAGTGTTAAATAGTTTAAGCATGACAGTATGGAATGCAATTTCCTCAATAAAATTTGGATCATGGTTAAAATACAATTAATTTGTAATCACTCGGTATATATAAAAATTCGCTAATTAATTGACATGTAGGCTGGCCCAACTAAGCCTTATTTCCATATGGGCTAATCTTAACTAATAAATGGACAGCTCATTTGTAATTCCAATAATTATTTGGACCTCATTTCTTACAAAAATTCAAAATAATACAACTCTATATCGCTTAATAAACTCAATTAAAATAAATAATAAAATATATCAAGCTACAACAAAACAAATACGAAAATAACTCTTAAATATACATATAGTTGACCTATGCCAAAGAATAAATCATTAAATTCTCTTATTTTATAAGGGATCCAGTTCAGTATCCAGATCTACGCTCTTAATAAGCTCTATCAAATATAATATTTGAGACTGACTTGAGTGTCAGAGTGTCTACACTAGGCCCGCCCCCCGTACTATTTTGCAAGTTAATTCGGTTTGTGATACGAGTGTTCGATACGAGTGTTCGATACGAGTGCTCTAAGGAACCAGATGGTTGGTTTCCTTATGGAACCGACAACCAATGGGACAACCCCATGTGGAGTTGTCCCATTAGTGGTTGGTTCCATAAGAGCATCCGCATCAGTTGAACGGTACTCTCGTTTAAACGGCCCCTTCCGCGTTAATACGGATGCGGTTCATCCGTTTAATGGGGTGGCCCACCACTTCGTTCAAGCCGTTGAACGCATTCTTTCCATTTTCTTTTTCTTTTTTTTTTTTGTTTTAAAGTCTTATTTTATTATTTGCATGTGGCACATGCTAATTTTTTTTTTTTGTTTTAAGATTATTATTTATTAATTCTTTTTTTTTTGTTTTTTATATTTTATTTATTTTTTATCTATATCACACTTCCCAACATGTATCAATAATTTATATTTTGTAATTGTACTATTTTTTTCTTGTGTAATCCTAATTTATGTTATTTTGGTCTTGTAGTGTGTTTTTTATTTTCATGTATTTAAAATTTATTGTTATAATTTAAAAGTATTAAATTTTTTTTTTATTGTGGATAGAATATAAAAAATTATATTGAATGAGTGGATAATGGGTCCCACATATGTATTTAAATGAATGGGTATGAATGTGGGTGTGTGTTTAAATGGAGAGAGATTTGGTGGAAATATGACGTGGATGAGAGAGAGTGTAAATTTTTGATTGAATGAATGGAAAAAAAATGGAACCAATGTGGATGCTCTAAGGAAACCAACCATCTGGTTCTGTAGAAAAACTGATATTTTTGGTGGATAATGTTTTTCATAACTTACTAACTCAAATTTAGTTCAACTCAATTCTCCTCAATATCCCCATAACCCCATATATATAATTCTCGAATGTGTTGAGCCTAATTGGCAAGCTCGCATGCTTCGTAATCCTAGGTGTCAAAATTCAATTCTTTGTTATTTGGCTAGCATAGATTTTAATTTAATTCCAATCCCAAACTAATTAAGTTCGGATTATCATAAATATGTTGATTTATTTATGATCATTTTAGACGTATTAATATATTTTAATATCATTTCCTATTATAACTATTGAATTGTAAATGTATTTTAAAATTGATAACTTTTGTATTTCTTATTAGTTTTACATATATAATGTATCAAATTAATCATTTTTTGATGGGCTTCAATTTGACGTTCATATTGTATATATAAAATAATATAAATTATATTTATCTTTAGAATAATAAAAAATATTTATTAAAATTAAGTAAAAAATAAATTATTTCTCAATTAATATATTCATGTTTAATGTAGTTATATGTAATAAGTTAGAAAAATTATTATAATATAACACATGTAAGTCGCACAAGTAACAAATGTCATACTAAAATATATTATATATATACAAAGTATTTAAATTTTCAACTATTTTTTTTTATTTTAAATTTTAAGTAAAAATTTTAACAAGCACCCGTGTAATATATTGGCGTTGTACTAGTTATTAATATAATTAAATAATATCAATCAATCATTATATCATATCAACTTTAATTATTATTCATTACTCACGTAATTTTAACTACCAATCAATTTCAATAACTTTAACTTTTAAAATATTATTTCCATCACAAGAACCTTAAGCATAACTTTTTAAATATTACTTAAAATATAAATTCAAAATTTCCATCAAGTCAACACTCAATTTTTTTTAATAATTAACTCATTGTATTTAAATAATCAAATCAAAACCAAAAATTTTTATAATCAATTACCATCTTAGTGAGTTTGGTGCACCAAAAATTATATGGAACCATCGGATGGTTTTCTTATGGAGACATCCACCACTTAATGTATTAACACATATCCAAACCGTATTTATTGTAGAATATATGTCAATACATTATTGGTAAATAAGTATGGATGGCTCCAAAAGTCGAATTATTCAATGACTCCGTAGCGAAATTATTTGGTGCACATCATGTCTCTTACTTCATCAGTTACAATATTGATTGTAGGCAGCTAATTCATCTCAATTCACATAGCCAAAAGAAACCGTAAACTTTGTCAAACCTGTCAGAATGATATAAATGCCTTTAATTTACATTTTGATCATCGTGAGATCGGCATTACGATTTCAATTCTTTTTTTTTTTTTTTTTTTCCAAACGACAAACAACATAAAATTACTCGAATAAAAGTCTTACAATGCGAGGCTTAAATAGGCACAAATGTTACATAAGCAGACCAAAACATCTACCCAAGTAACAATAGAATGATGTTCTAAGAATCACCTTGCAAAGCCATCTTGGCTATAAAGCTACAATCTTTACACAAATTAACATTAAAAGAAAAAGCATAGAAATTAAAAAGAGAACAGAGATGTTTGAAATCAGAAGTTCTAGTATCCATCTGCTCCCCATCTTCAGACATCTGCTGCAACCACTCAATCATAGCCTTGGAGTCCAAATAACAGTTGATGTTCCTCCACCCTTTGGCTACAGCTTGCTCAAGAATCCAACAAGTTCCTTCAATGTAGGCCTCCACTGAACTACCACTAAAGTCCCTAGATGTATCCCACAATTGAAGATCCTTGTCTGCATTAAAAGCCTTACCACCCATTCCCATTCTTCCTTCTTGCACCCAGCAACTAACAGCAACCCCAATGCTCCCCCTACTCTCCCCTCCTCTCTCTCTCCCCACATTGCTCCCAAAGATGATATCCCTCTCTTCAATTCACGAAAGGAGGTCAATGACAAAATGGCAGCCCCCACCTTATTCATGATCGTAATCTTAACTCCAATTAATTTGATTATTATTTTCATTTTCATTAACGCAAAAGATTTATTGAAAAAGGGCTCTCAACCTTACATCAAACTCACTGCAAGTCTGCAACATGCATGTAAATTTTATAGATTGGAAGATTTGGAACTTTTTTCATGAAAACAACCAAAAGGCTAAATATGTGTATAGGATTGTGTTCAAGTGAGAATAGAGCTCAATAAAAGAAATAAAAATAAATAGTAGTCATTAGATCTAATAATTTAATAGTTAAAGAGAAAATTAAAATTATACATTCATTAAAGATAGTGTAGTAATTTACCACACAAATAGTTGGACCCACCTGCCACCTCATCCCTTATCTCTCATTCACCCTATCTTTCTTCTACGCAAACACCCACCCACACATAAACACACGCCAACACACACACATATAACACGCACACACACATCAAACACAAAAACACACACACCTCCCACATACCACACAGTCGATCGCTTGCTTCCCGCCGGCAACCACCCACCCGCATCCAGCAACCACCCACTCGTCACCGGCAACAACCGACCCACCGTCGGGCCATCGGCAACTACTCTGCTGGCCGACAACCACCTGCTAGCAGCCTCCCGCCCGCTGCACGTCTCCCGTAGCACGACACATGTTGTCCAATGACCGCCACTTGATGCACGCCGCCCTTCGACCGCTGCATGCTGCACGATTCTCGTCGTCCGTCGCGAGCCGCCTGCCATCCTATCTCAGCCACCGCCCTCCACAGCAAAAATCAACTTCTTCTGCCGCTGAGCTCAACGCGTGTCGCCTCCGCCTAAGAGAAGACCACCAAAATCGACCGCCTCTGCCGACCACCACTCGTCGCCGATCTAAAAAATAGATGGAGGCCTTTTCTGATCTGATGTGGCTTAACAAACATAATCCGGTGGGTTGGGGTCTCCGTCGGCAGCGAAAGACGAGATGCGGCCGGCGACAAGGGCTTACCAGCCGGATTGCACCTCACCAGACATAATTGTTTTTTTTTTTTT